GAGGCTGCCTACCCGAGGACGCGGCGGGGTACAGCACTCGGTCACACCCGCCTCGCTCCTCCATTGCGCATTTGGGGCAGTTCTCCGCTAAGGGGACGCTTCGCGCCCCAGGCCCCCTCCGCCCCCCAGCCCGGAAGTCCCCTGCCCTCGGGAAAGGGAGGAGGGGCGGGGGCACCCCCCCTCGCCGCGCGGGGAGCAGGAGGGTGGGCACCACTCTGCCCACTGAGGGGGGAAGGGAGAAGCCCTCCTCGGCGCGCCCAGTTGGTGAAAAGGAGAAGTTCCCGCTGTCCTCGGGGCCGGGGGCACGAGACGATGGGCGGTGCCCTCCCGCCGCGCGCGGGGCCCGTGCGGAAGAGTGCGGGAGCACCCCCGCCCGCAGCCCGCGGGGAGGCCGGGGCCCCTCCCGCCGCGCCCCGAGCACGCGGGCGTGGGGGGGGGCGGTGAGGCGCCCCCGCAGCCCCGGAGCGCGGCGGGCCGCGGGTGTGGGGGCGCCGCGGGAGCCCCGGGCCGCGCTCGGGTGCGGGGGAGGCGGCGGGCCTCGCAGAGGCCGGGCGTGGGGGCGCGGGAGGAGGGGCCGTCCCGGCCGGCGCCCCCCTCCCGCCCCTCCCCTCGGGCCGCCCCCGGCGCGCCGCCCGGCCGTCGGGGGGGAGGGGGGCGGCGGCGGTGGGCGGAGGCCGGGCGGCGCGCCGCGCGCTGGGTGGGGGGAGAGGGGCGGGCCGAGGGCCCCGGTCGCACCCGCCCCCTCCCGCGCCGTGGCGGCTGCGGCGGCGCCGGGAGCTGCCCCTGAGGCCGCCGCCCGGCCCCCGCCCGCGCGTCAGCGCCCAGCCCGGGGCGCCGAGCTCCGCCCGCGCCGGAGGCCCCTGCGCGCAGCTCGGAGCGCGGCGGCCGGGCCGGCCCAGGCGGCGCGGGGGTGGGACGCGCGCGGCGGGCGCCCCGCGAGCCGGCCCGATGTGGCGGGAGGCGATGCGGCGCCGCCGCTACCTGCGGGACCGCGCCGAGGCGGCGGCGGCGGCGGCGGGCGGCGGCGCCGGGCTGCAGCGGTCCCGGGACTGGCTGTACGAGTCCTACTACTGCATGAGCCAGCAGCACCCGCTCATCGTCTTCCTGCTGCTCATCGTCATGGGCGCCTGCCTCGCCCTGCTCGCCGTCTTCTTCGCGCTCCGGCTGGTGAGTGGCCTCCCCGGGGGACCTGCCCCGGCGCCGTGCGGGTCCGGAGCGCCGAGGGGAGCGGGGCGCAGGGGAGGGGGCGGCCCCGGCGAGCCCGCAGCTTTCCCCGGCCCCCCCTGCCTGCCCGCCTGGCCGCGGCCGGCCCCGGCTCGGAAAAGTTTCCGCGGCAGCTTGGGCCCCACGTAAAGTTGCCGCCGTGCTCCCGGGGCGGACGCGCAGGGCCGGCCCCGCGCACCCGCCGCCGCCCGAGGCGCGACCCTGCGGCCGCTGCCGGAGGCCACGGCGCGGCCCCCGGCCGACGCTCCAGTTTGGAGCGCACGTTAAGTCTCGCAGAGCTGCCTCGGGAACGGGGTTAGGGGCGAGGGAAAGGAAAAAGAACCAACATGGGATCGTGCCTCCTTGCCTTCAAACCCGCGTGTGTTTAGTGCCGTGGACAGAGGTGGGGTTGACCTGCGTGCGTCTTCGTGCTTGGAGTGTGTAAGTGGCAAGCGCTCGGGGGCCGTTGGTTTCCTATTTGCACAGAGGTAGTGGATCGGGCCGACGGTTCCGTGCAGGTTATTAAAGCGGGTTTCATCACTAGGAGCATCCGTGCAACTCAACAGCTGATGCCGGTTTTGCCCATTTATTTATTTTTTTTTTTCAGGCAGGGATCCTTGGCTCCCTCCCTGGAGCAGTGAGGGAGAATCTGTAGATGGCGGTAAACTTCCTGTTACCGATCATTCTGGTGGTGTGCGGTTCAAACTTTTGCACCCCCTCCGATTATGCATGCATGTGCGCACTGTGGCAGGCATCGATTATCCAGGGAGATATTTTCGGTCAGCCGTTCATCTGGGGATATCTCTATTGAATGACTTTTTTTTTTTTTTTTTTTAAAGCTTAGACTCGTAAGTATGCACGTCCATTCGTGTCCACCGGGCAAAGAAGTGGATGTTTGCCTGTGTTTCACCAAGTGTGCAAAATGGCTGTCCTTCGTGTGTGGCAGTTTGTTTCTGATATCCTGGGCCAGGTGGTGCTTAATTATTATGCATGGGAAAACTTGTTATCATCGTAGGGTTATTTAAAAAGTTAAGTTTTCTTTCTCCGCACCCTCTGCAAGTACGGTCTTCTGATGGAATTCGGTGAGGGTGAAAAATTGAATGTAGGGATCCTGACGCCACAGATCACACGCTGGTTGTTCTGCCGTAGAATATATAAGCGGAGAGCGCCTTTTGATGCTCTTTGCCGGGTGTGCCTTCAGGGCAGTCCCCACGCCCACAGCACTGGTCCCGAAGCCCTGGAATGGCTTCTCCATCTCTCTTCACCACGTTCAGGACTGGCACCAGCGTCTCTCAAAGCATCTGCTTTTCATTCCTGCACTTGCAGGGAAGAAAACATGTCAGCTTTCCCAAATCTCTTCTGCCAGGACATGGCTGCTTGTGATTCGGTCGAATCTGAAATTCAAACCCTTCTGGCATGTTCTCTTCTAAATGGAAAAGGAGGAGCAGGTGACGGCCTATTTATAGCACCATTAATATATTTAAAGACAAGTGTGAAGTTCACGTCTGCTCTACACACACCACGATACAGATCTCGAATTTCTTAAACCTCGTCGATACAGATGCTCTTGCCTGGGTTTTGCGTGGTGTGGTGTCGTCCAGCTGTCAAACCCTCCTCTGGGTTGTTTTGAGCTTTACGTTAGTTCCTTTTTGTTCCGTTTCATATGGTGCAAGTGGTATCCCTTTCACAGTGTAACCAGGTGTTGACGTTTCCTTGACAAACTCACCGTTTCCGTACTCTCCTGACATTCAGCTAAATTGTTGAAAGCACAGAGAAAGCACTTCCCATGCGATGGCTGTAGCCCGGGGTGTTGTCCAGAGGCAGCAAATGGACACCTCTTTGCTGTACCTGGTCCATGGACTGACTACTGTATAAATCTTTGTAGGGCGAAGAGCACTGCGTAAATGTTCCAGAATCAGGGAGTATGAGTGGTTTGGTGGAAAAGCCCCTTTCAGGTGGGGACTGAGGCCGCAGGGCCACATGGGTCATGGGAAACCCCTGAAAGCCAGAGGCACTGCCCTTCGATACCGGTCGTTGAGGGACGGTTCTGAGCTCCAGACAGCTCTTTCCTCTTGTGCTTTTAGTAATGTCATAAAGAGCAGTTCCGCTTCCTGAAAAATGTTCTCTGTTCACACAAAGATGGAACATTGAAAGATGGGACGGTGTTCACGTGGAGCTGTGTTCACACTGCGTGGGGCAAGTTCATTTCTCAGACTGACCAGAGCTTGACTCCCGAGTGATTTACCTCTGGGAGATGGAAATAGCCGCTTGGGGCCGGCCCAGGTTTCCACCTTCAAGCCCTTTACAAGAATAGCTGGGCCCTGATGTAATTCAGGAGCTCGGCACATCTATTTTTGCTGCCTGAAATCTTGGACAGATTTCTTCTTTCCCGTGAATCTGCCTGATTTGGGTTTCTATTAGACTTCCATCAGTTCTTGTAGTAGAAAAAGTCTGGCAGTCTTCTTAATGCACATCCAATAGTCTCCTAGAACATTTGGATCACAAAAAGATCTTAGCATCATCTAAGTACATAGTGATGCTATGCTACATGGACTTTGTACGAAGTGATTTCGAATAGCTGGTAAAATTAAAATGACAAGCTTTGTCTTGACTTAGTATCTCCCTAATTGATATTATTCATAAATCAATTTCACTTAATTTCAACTTATGATCAATCAGTCCATGAGTCTACATCGGTTGATCATGAAGTTAAAGAAGTTCCTGAAATATTAAAAAAAAATTTTTTTAATGTTTATTTATTTTTGAGAGAGAGTGTGCATGTGAACAGGGGAAGGGCAGAGAGAGAGGGAGACCCAGGACCTGAAGCAAGCTCCAAGGCTCAAACCCACGAACCGTGAGATTGTGACCTGAGCTAAAGTCAGACACTCAGCCGACTGAGCCATCCAGCTACCCTGAATTTTTATTACACTGTAAAAATAAATTCTGAATTGAAACTTCACCATCTGGCTTAGTTATTTTCTACATAGGAAGCTATTAAATAGGTTTTATCCCATCTTCGTTAGGAATTATCTAGACGTGGAATAAATAGGACACATGATAGCATGTCTTGAATTTTAATATTTTGTTGAATAATATGAAAGATATTTTCTGTTGCTTTTCAAGGGTATTTAACTGATAGCACAGGGCGTGATGGGCAAAGTAAACTTGACACCTGGCATCAGAAAACTTGGAATTAATGAGACCAGACTTCAAGTTGTAAGTCTTAAGCTGTCACTTCATTTTCCAGGACTGGCTCTCATTACTACACGCGTGGACACCGTCTATCAGAATTAAATCCTCTCTCATTTATTATGTCCAAAATCAGCATGATTTTTTTTTTTCAAAATTGGCCTGTCATTAGCAGAGTTGACATAAATTTTATAGTTTGTCAAAATACCAGCTGGCTCCAACCAGATTTGTTTTAGCTAAAATTTATGATTAGAAATAGTTAATATTTCAACTGGAATGGAAAACTTTTACTCCCATAAATGTTAAGTAGATATTGCAACAAAATGGATTTTTTGTTTTACTGGGATATTGAAACCCATGTAGGCATACGTACTTTTATTAAATATGTAATATGTATGATTTTGACCAAGAATATGATCTCTGTCTTCTTGGCTTTTACATGATCGGGTGAGCTGAGCCTTTCGAACACTAACCCTAAGTACTTGCCATTCCGAATCAATTTTCCAGCTTTGGGGGGTATTTTTTCTAGGGACAGATGTATCAGTGTTTCTTTTATGTATACATGGAGAAAGAGTTTTAATTCTTCCAAAACACACACAGAAACCCAGTCATTGTACAGGGAAATTGGCTTTATTATTTCAGACAATATTTCAGTGCCCTCAGTGGGTAGAAGGACGTCAATGGGGGCAAACTCAATCCTTCACCCTTTTCTTGGGAGGTGAAGGCTGGAGAAGGCAGATAAATATGTCTGGCCTCTCCTTTAAGGATCAGGAAATACTGTGGATACTTCCTCTGGTCCCACAATTCTGGGAGTAGAGCTCTTAGGAATTGGAGGAGCGGTATCTAAAGATACACCTTCCTGTGAATTTCTGCGCCTGGAGGAAAATCTTCCTTGGCAGGTGTTTGTAATTGCAACCAGTATTTCACTAAGTCCTTTCAGTTATAATTTAACTATGGTATAAACAAAAGATGAGGAAAAACCGTCATTTTCTGCAGGAAAGGTGGTTGCAATTTAGAAGGCTGACAAGGAAGGCTTTGGAAGCATCCTTGGAATATTAAATATACACAATTAAATATACGCACAGCACCTAGTCTTCTGCATTTAAAAAAGGGCGGCGAATGTAGTGGCTAGGAGCATCTGTCTGCACTGGCCTTTTGGCTTTGCGCCTCTCCCTTGCTGTGACCGTTGGCAAATCGTTCACCCTCTCTGTGCCTCCGTTTTCTTGTTTATAAAATAAAATGTACCTGCCTTCTAAGGCGATGGTCCAGATTAGCGCATGGATGTGGTCAGAGTAATGCCTGGCCCAGAACGTGCCCCCAGAAGCTCCAGTCAGTAGCCAGTCTTCTGTGGCTGCGTTTCCATCGTTGCCATGGAAGAACATGTCACATCGCATTAGAGCGGGAAGGTGCTCAGTCAGGATGAGGACACTGAGACCCAAGGAGGTGAGCTCATGCCTTCCAGGCCCCACAGGTGCTGTGCTGGGGCCAGATGCAGGGCGTTTGACTTTTCCTGGGGACCTTTCCGGGAAATCACTGCAGATCGGGAATTCCTCGCTCTGGTCTGGGGACAGTCACAGTTATTCTGTTGAAATTTCCTACTGATGTGAATGTCCTCAACCTTCACTTTCTGGAACGGAGTTACACGTCAACTCTTTTCTCTTTTGACGTTAAAACAAATGTTGGTAGAGCTGCTTCCTCACGTTGAGCTCATTGAGGTTGGGCATCATTGATTTTCATTGTGTCGAATATTCCCACTATCTGCTTCCCCATTAGGCAGAGGACCCACTTGTGGCTGTGCTTTTGTTGTCTGAGAAATCCCTGGAATAAAGAGTGTGGCATGTAAAATCATTCCTATGGAACTATTTGCGAAATTTCATTGAGTCTTACTGCTATTTTTAAACCATTCTATTTAAAAGGTAGTAACACTGTGAGAGCTGATCTATTGCTCTGTTCAAGGTGTTTTATGGTGGTATTAATCACTTTGATATGTTGATAAGTAATTGCTAGTGATAGTCTACACTAGGTGTCTGTGACTAACCCGCTGATACCGTAGTCCTTTCCATAACTTGGTATTGTCATTGGCACAATTTGGTGGACTTTATTCAAGCTTCTCCTCCTTCCTGAGCACCTGCTAGGGCCACCCCTGGAACTGACGTCCTCCAGGTGGTTCTTCTCCCTGAAGTCGCTCATCTCTGACACACTTAGGTCATCCTTCAACTACCATTCCCTCCCTAGGATGATCTGTGAGCCTGGACCCCGAGAGCCGAGAGCATATGCATCTGACCCTCTCCAGCCACACAGTGTTCCTGAGTAGCTGCCCTTACCTGGCTGGAAGCCTCTTCTTCTCTGAGCTGCATATTCAGCAGCTTAAACAGGCTGGCCTTTGCTGCACATTCCTTTCCGTATTGGTTTCTGCCCCTGACGCCTGCAAGGCTCTTGAACCTTGTGAAGCCGTTGTCACTACTACATTACTATCATCTGATGTTCAGAATAGTGTTGTGAGCCTGTCTTGTCGCCTCGACAAACGGGGAAGAAACGGAGAGCTCCGGGTATTTAACACAGCACTAGCCCCGGCACAGGTGTGCAATTAACACGTGTGTAATTTACGGTGGAGGTGGGCTTTCCTTAGCAGCTGGCCTTCCCATAGGTAGCCTACTGGTTAACAGTGACAAAACTTTGCTGATAGCCCTGGATCGGGATCTGCTTTGCACTTAGTGTGTGTTCCTGACTAATTAATTTGTCTGCCATAGCCTCAGCTACCACTTCGTCTGTGAAATAACACACATAGCGCAACCGGGCTCGGGGAGCTCTGTTGGGAATTAAGAAGGACAGATCATATGAACATTGAGCATAGTGCCAGGTACATACTGCCCCCAAGACCAGCAATGACCTCACTGTTACTAGTATATTTGTACCACAGGGGGTTTTCTGTGTCAAGATATCCTATAGATGAAAAGTATTTCTGGTTGGAAACTAAATGGGTAATAAGATTTTTAAATCTGGGCATGAAAGAGCAGAGGATATGTTTCTATTTATATGAAAAATGTTGTGCATAAACTTGAGTTATTAAAGAAAAAAGATGGAGATGCAAAGATAGTTTAATTAAAAGTCACATTTTGACAGAAGCGTTTTATTTTCTGGTCCTAAAATTCATGCCAAATTGATATTCCTATTGCCTTTCATATTTCTCGATTTTGTTGGTTTTGGATAATGGTATATAACATCACCAAGAGTAAGATATTTACAGTGTGATTTCTTGGTATCAAATCAGGAAATTGACGGACCCCTGGAAAGTCTGGCTCGCAACCGCCAGGTGCGTTTGGGAGGAGAGAGGAGTGTTGGGTCGGCTCATACATGCATCCATTTGACCAAATTGAGGTGTGGCTAACGTTGCTTTGATGCCCTCTTTGTATAAGGACATAATAAAAATAATCACAAGGAAGGGGAAAAGAAGCTTCGAAGAAAAACTTCATGGGTCCAACCGTTCCTGGTAATGTGATAAATATTTTTTTTTTGTTCCTTCTTTTTACTTGGGCTTATACTTCTGACCTAGAAGCCATAGTCAGCGAGAGAGTGACAAAAACGGTAATGGGAACCTTTACCTGCAAAACCATCATGAGTAACTTTGCCAACTACTTTTCTGACTTTGCCCCAGTTTCTAGAATGATGGTGCCAAGACAGAATAAGGATACAGACCTGGGTTAGGCTATGAGAGATAACTAAGGCCAGTTATATCTTAGAAGCCAGACAAATCATTTTTTAAAAACTTGGTGCTTGAAATGGGAATTTTCAATTATTAACACAATTAAAATACGTTGAATGAATAATTTGTTATATTTGAGGCCTACAGACATAAGGTATGATAGCTTCTTTTGATTTCTTTTTGTTTGTTTGTTTTTGAGAGAGAAAGTGACAGAGCACGAGTGGGGGAGGATCAGAGAGAGAGGGAGACACAGAATCCGAAGCAGGCTCCAGGTTCTGAGCTGTCAGCACAGAGCCCAATGTGCGTCTCGAAATCATAAACCACCAGATCATGACTGGAGCAGAAGTCAGATGCTTAACCGACTGGGCCCCTCAGGTGCCCCAGTAGCTCCCTTTTAGAACACTGAAATTGTTGAGATTTCTCAAGATGGCTATTTCCTGTGAGAATCCTCTGGATACATCAAGTCACTGTGGTCCACCACTTAGAGGAGGTTCCTGGTGGGGAAGGTGGTGGATCAGTTACTTTTGGAATGAAGGGCCATGACTGGAAGGTCTTAGAAGTAGAACTTCTACCCATTCCACTAATGTCCTTCACCGTCCCCTGGACAGCAAGATGTTTGGATGTTACAGCTAGAACGAGCCAGAGCTCAAAGGTGCTGGCTCTCATTGCTACATTCTTATCCCCAAGACTGAATTTGTGTGTGTGTGTGTGTTTTAAATGTCCTGTATTATCATTTATTTTTCTAATTTTAGTTTTCATTTTATTTTATTTTTTAAGTTTATTTGTTTACTGAGAGAGAGAAGAAGCAGAGGAGGGGTAGACGGAGAGCGGGACAGAAGATCCGAAGCAGGCTTTGTGCTGACAGCAGAGTCCGATGTGAGGCTTGAACTCAAAACTGTGAGATCATGACCTGAGCTGAAGGTGCACACTTAACCGAATGAGCCACCCTGGTGCCCCTCATTTGATTTTAGAGAGAGAGCACAAGTAGGGGAGAGGGACAGAGGGAGAGAGAGAATGTTAAGCACACTTGAGTGTGGAGCCCGACATGGGGCTCTGTTGCATGACTCTGAGATCATGACCTGAGCTGAAATCAAGAGTTGGAAGCTCAACCCATAGAGCCACCCAGGCACCCCTCTTTTTTTTAAAGCTGTGTAAAAAAAATCAAGGGCAAAGTAGGTAAGATTTCAAGCTTCTAGTGATCTGTGGACATCATAAAGGAAACAACATATTATTTATTTACTTATTTATTTTTTAATGTTTTATTTATTTCTAGGAGAGAGAGAGAGAGAGAGACAGCGTGAGCAGGGAGGGCCAGAGAGAGAGGGAGTCACAGACTGAAACAGGCTCCAGGCTCTGAGCTGGCAGTCAGCACAGAGCCCGACGCGGGGCTCGAACCCACGAACCGCGAGATCATGACCCAAGCGAAAGTCGGATGCTCAACCGACTAAGCCACCCAGACGCCCCAACAACATTTTAGACTAGTTCGTTACTAGAACCAATAATGATGTTAAAAATTCAGAGGTGAATACAAATGAAAGAGATAGTAGTTTCAGATATGTGGTGGGTCAGATGTCTGATCCTTTCCCGTCATCAGCTTGTAGTTAATGCAAATATTTAACAGTCATGTTCTTCACACTCAGACTTTAGGTACACAGAATGGGATTTATCATTTGACTAATTTGATTCATCTTTGATTTTTAAGCACAATTCTCATTGATCTCTGACTTGCATATTTGTTTATGATAAAGTAAGCACACATGAACCCAGTCCAAACTAGAATGGTCTGTATGGCACTCCTGTCCCAATCCCCTGCCGAGCCTGAAATGTAAACCTTATATTACGCTTTTTTAAAATGTTTTATTTATTTCTGAGAGAGAGACAGCATGAGCAGGGGAGGGTCAGAGAGAGAGGGAGATACAGAATCTGGAACAGGCTCCCGGCTCTGAGCTGTCAGCACAGAACCTGATGCGGGGATCGAACCCACGAACTGTGAGATCGTGACCTGAGCTGAAGTCGGACACTCAACCGACTGAGCCACCCAGGCGCCCCTATACTACACTTTTTGTTATCATTCTTTTGCTTTTCTTTTTAATCATTTTATCATTATATGTATATGCATCTGTATATATTATTAGAGGTGTATGGTGTGAGGTAGTGATTGAGATCGTTTACATTTTTTTCTTTGTGGTGAATGAAATTTTCCTAATCACTTTCAGTTGTTTCTTTCCCCACATCTGTCATATATCAAAATTCCACACGTGAGTGGTTTGTCATGGGTTCTCTATTCTGTTCCATTGGTTAAGGTTTGTTTTGTTTTTACCCTTGTATCCCTGCACATACACACACGCACTATAATTGGTAAAGCTTTATAATAAGTATTTATATTAAACAGGTAGCATTCAGTTTAACGAAGAAACCTCAAAAGTTTCTTGGCCTTTTATCTTCTCTATAAACTTTATAGTCACCTTGTGTCAACCTCTGTATGAAAAAAACTCAACTGGGGTTTTGTTAGTGTCACCTTGAATCTTGTGATTCATTACTGATGAGATAGTTTACAATATTAAACTTTTCTATCCATGAACACTGGAGTATCTCTCCATTCACGTGTGTGCTTTTGTGAAATTTCATGGTTTCGTATATGTTGTCTTACTCTTTCTGTAACTAAGAACTGAAACGTAGACTGTCAGGTTTCCTACATAGAGAATCTTAACACCTGAAATAAAAAGAGTTTTATTTTTCTCTTTTCTGGTATGAAGGTCTTAAGTTTCTATTTCTTATATTATTGTGCTGGCTAAGAATTATAATATTGTATTGACAGAATTGGTGATTGTGAATACTCTTGCCTTTGTCTTAGTTTTAAAGAGCGTTCCTTCATAATTTATTACAGAGGATATTAGTTTTGTAGATTTCCTTTGAGATTCCTTTGTTATACTTTACACAAAACACTTAAATGTGTTTGGGTGTTGAATTTTACTAAGTTGAAGCGATTATGTATGCTTTTTAAGTTGTTTTTTAGTCTTCCAATGTAATGAATGATGAATATTAAACGATTTTCATATTCCTGAGACAAACTCAATTTTCATGATATCTGTTATAAAATGTTGGGTGTGATGTGCCAACAGTTTAAGAGTTTTACAGCATATGTTTTTTGGTGATGTGAATTTGAAGTATTCTTTTATCAGACTAACTTCCTTTTCTGACCCCTTCCCTTCCCTTCCCTTCCCTTCCCTTTCCTTCCCTTCCCTTCCCTTCCCTTCCCCCACACCCAATGTGGGGCTTGAACTCATGACCCTGAGATCAAGAGTCACATGCTCTACCAACTGAGCCAGCCAGGCACCCCTCCTTTTCTTTTTTTTTTTTTTTTAAGTTAAAGTTTTGCTAGTCTTATAAAATAAATCAGAGAGCATGCCCTCTTTTCAGTTTTCCATAAGATTTTAAGGTTTGTGGTATGTTGGGAAGAGTTGATAGAATTTGCCTGGAAAACCCCCTGGCTTTGTTGCTTTCTTTATAGGAAGACTTAAAAACTTCCATTTCAGGATCTTTGATATTTAAAGGATTGTTAGTATTTCTTTTAAATGTTTATTTATTTTTGAGAGTGAGAGAGACAAAGTGTGAGTGGGTGAAATGTAGAGAGGAGAATCTGAAGCAGGCTCCAGGCTCTGAACCATCAGCACAGAGGCCGATGTGGGGCTCGAACTCATGAGCTGTGCAATCATGACCCGAGCCAAAATCGGATGCTTAACAGACTGAGCCACCCAGGTGCCCCAATATACTTAGTATTTCAAATTGTATTTCTTGAGTCCGTTTTAATAAGATACTTCAAGGAATGTTTGCCTTTCATCCAAAGTCTCATATTTAATGGGATGTATTGATAATACTTGCCTCATATTAACAGTTTACATGTATTTTGTCTTTGGTTTTTATTTATAGTATTATAGTTTTCCTTGACCTTTTAAAAATCTTGTCAGATGTCTGTTTTGTTTTAACTTTTCCAAGAGCTTTCTTTTGTCTCTGTTGGTCTTCAAGGGAAGGACAACATGAGCAATGGTAAATCTCCAGGAAGCCAGTCCCAGCGTCACTGGCTCTGATGCTGAGAATTGAGTCATCTTTTGACCCAGACCCTTGCCCTGGAAATAGTACCTGTCTTCTGTTTACTGTGACCTCTGAACCTTTTATTCAGGGCATTCTTCCTTGCTGGTCACCTTTTTGAACACATCTGGGGAATATTCCCCACTTGGGGACTGAGAAGTTTCCTGAGCCCATTTCCCATCATAGAGAACCCGGGATTCCCTTCTAGTCTCTAGCAGCCGTAGTGCAGGCTGGTATTGCTTTTGGAATCCCAAATCGCTCAAAACTTATTCAACTTTTTTCCTATTTAGTGTCAGTCATCTGCAGGTGTCCGTGGTCATGATAGTGCTTTTGAAGACCTACTTGGTAGATTTGCTCTTACTTCTCTGCCTTCTCACCCTATGTCTCTTTCTCTCCCTCTCCTGTCTCTTGCTCACTGCCCACTCCTCCTTCTCTCTCTCTCTTTGAGCCTGTTTGAGTAGCACACTCTCTGGTCCTCTTTTCTATGAGGCATTTTGTCCAGTTGAAAGGATTTTCTGACCCATGCTCTTTCTTGGACTTCACTCTGACACGCCCTAACCCATCATTGAAAAATGGTCTTGCTTTTCCCCCAGGTGGCTATATATTAATCCCTTCTCACCCTAGAACCCAAGTTGAATCATTTACTGGTTGAAGCTGAGAAGCATTTCAGTTCTGAGAGATCCATAGCTTCTGGAATGTGTTGCTTCCGCCTTATTCTTCCTTATAGCCAACCTGTTATTTCCTGATCTGTTATGTGCCTCATGATACCTTAGCAGATGGCAACCAAGAGCAGCAAACCCATGCTTGTCACATTTTGTGTAATGACCTCTTCTGGAGTACGGTCAACAAACTCTGGCCCCCTGTCTATGTTTTTAAATAAAGTTTTGTTGAATATAGCCTGACCATCACTCGCATATGATCCTTAGCTCTGTTGAAGGTACATCAGCAGAGTTAAATAGTGTGACTGAGACTGTATGGCCTAATTAAAGCCTATAAAATACTGATGGTCTAGCTCTTTCTGCAAATGGTTCACTGAGCCCTGCTCTGGACTTAGAATTCTATTAAGGCATCTTTTCCCCTCCAAAGAAAAATACCAGTTTTCATTTTCAGTAAAGATGTGATAGGTTGTGACGTGTTAACAAGCGAACCTCAAATTCGGCCTAACGTACCTGAGGTTTAGTTCACACGCACACATCCTGCCCAGGAGGGAGGTTCTGCTCAGGTTAGTTACTCTGAGGGCTGGTGTCTCCCCCATGACAGGTGCTTTTGTCATCATTGTGTCATAGAAGGGGGAAGTGCTGTGTAGCCTCAGACGGGCATTTCCATGGCTCTGCCCAGAGGACCAACCTAGGGTTCTACTCTGGTAGAGCCAAAGCATGGTTACTTCTCACTTCAAAGGCGGTCAGAAAGGGCTTCTCAGAAGGAACCCAGAAGAAAGAAGGTCTCTGACCACTACACCTTCCTTCTGCTTTCTCTGGGTTTCTTTTGTTGTTTGTTTGTTTTGTTTTGTTTTTTCTAATTTCTGAAGGGGAAAACAAAGTTTATTAGTTTTCAGCCTCTTTTTTTGGTTTTGTTTTGTTTTGTTTTGTTTTGTTTTTTTAGTGGAAAGCTTGGTGCCCAAAAGGGAGCATTAGGGAATCAGCAGGGAAGTCGCTAACCAGTTGGAGGTGCAGGAAGATCTAGGACCTGAGTGACCTGCATCTGCTGGAGAGAGCATCTCCAGGGGGTTCCTGAGGGCTGTTACCTTGGCCACCTCTGTGGGTGTGCAGCCAGAGGTCTGGTGAGGGGCCACGTTGGGGCTGCATGGGGGACCGTGGGGAGCCAGGGGGTGCTGGGGGCCCGCTGGCTCGTCCACGTGTGTCCCCAACCTTATCTATCCAGCGCACTACCCTTACCGGCAGCTACTTTGTGCCCACCTCCCAAATCTCAGCCAGGTACCTCCTCCGCCCTACTCTTACCTGGGGACATTCAGGGAAGGGGATTCTGGGAAGGAACATCCATCAGTTTGATGACAGAACAATCCAGCATAGTCTGCTGCTTGTTTCCCGAGTCCCGTGCCTACCACTGTTCACCGCTTGACTTCCACGTAAAGCAAATAGCACGATCGTACTTCCACCTAATGGGATGCAACTCTTCTTTGTGCAACTGAAAATATACCAATGCTCTTCCTAAAGGAATATCTCAAGGGTCATTTAATCCACTTTAGTGTTGTTCATTTCTCACCTAAGGAGCAGTGTCCTTTAAAAATCACTTATCTTGCATACTTGGATATAAAGCTATTAATATACTCTTAATACATCTTGTGTTATAGGGAAGAGAAGAAAAAGAATTACTTAATATGCACACACGCACAAATACGTTTATACCGTGCCAGGAGAGAAATATTTTATAACCGCTGCCATTCTCGATTCTCCAGCAGATCTCAGAGATGCCACGGGTGTTCTGACGCCCTTCTGCTGTCCCTCCATGTTCCCTTAGCCCGGTCACATGGCATTGGTGGGTGGGGTGGCATAGTCACCTCACTGGTATTTTGAAAATAGACAGTATTGGTTGTTAGACATTTCCATGAGCCTTTATCACAGGATACGGGAGCAGAAGAGACACCATACATCCTACGTTCTGTTGTTCTCTTCCTTTCCCTGCCCGCATCATGTATGAACAACCCAGTTCTCGACGGTGTCTACTCGTCACTCCAACCAGTACTAAAAGCTCTTCTCTACCTGCGGGCACAGTAGCCTGGAGTGCCCAGATAGCATTCTCTGTCTCCAACGTAATGGAAACATCATTGAGTTCCTTGGTGGAGGTAGCCTCCTTCGGAACAGCCTAAATTTACAGGAATGGAGTTAAGGTATTTTGTTAGACGACCATTCATAGGGCAGCTGCTTCTGTTTCCACCCGTCGATTCCCAGACCCATGGATGCTGGTGGCGGCAGAGCCCATGCTGTGCATCGGTCGCTGTTTCAGAGCATCTCTTTTGCCCTGTAGGGTCTCTCCCAGCCTACAGGGTATGGCCCCTAGGCAGGCACCCTAACAGCCCTTAGGAGTTTATTCCTTCCTTCATTCAAGGAAGCTGCTTCAGGGTGATGAGGAACAGGGCAAGACCAGTGAATTCCAAGAGCATAAGCTCATCGTCACACATCATTTGCTGTAAAATAAATGCTTCTGTCAGAAGCGATGCTCTGTGAAATACCTTGTGAGTGACTGCAGCCTCGAGAAAGCCCGTATATGGTGGTTCGGGGACAGCATGATGGACGGGAAAGCAAAACTCCTACTCCTTTCCAGAGTAGGTTCAATTCAAGTGAAAACACACCTTCTTTCCATTGTAATCAACCTGCCGTAGAGATCTGGCTGGTCCTCCATTGAGTGACACATGTAAGGGGCCCAGAGTTACAGTGCTTTGATTCTCTCCTTTTCGGTGGCCCTAATATATTCTGCAGAACCAGACAGAATCCAGGTGTCTTGGAGTTTTATTTCCTCTGGCAGTAGGTCAGAGGGAACTCTCTCTGAGGACATAGGTACAGATTGAGGGACACAGAGTAGGTGGTGTGATGGAAGCAGAGCCTATGAGAACCTGACATTTGCTCATGCAACTTGTGTCTTCAGGGTCTGTCTGAGCCCTGGCTCATGCGGCCCACCTCCATTTGCTGATGGGATGCCGCCGTGCACATCCAGCCTCATTCCTTGCGGGGGGGGGGGAGTCACACAACAGGCCCATCGGCATGGGCACGTTGGATCGCTTGGAGACTTGGTGATGGCCCATGGTCGGCATCCCTTTTGGGTTGGTAATCAGCCAACACCTGTTTCTCAGAAGAAGACTACTTCTTTGCAGAATCACTCAGAATTCTTCATAAAGCACTGGTTTGGGTGGAGAAGTGGGCACTTTCAGGGAAATATGTGAGGACAAACTTGGGTCATCCCCTAAGGGGGCCCCCAAGATGGAGGAACTCAACGGACAGATTTCTGGGAATCTGTTCCTTCTGTGTAGCTACTACCTCTGTGCTTCTGCGGCTAAGAGTCTGCAAGACCACTGTTCCCCAGTGGCCAGAGGTTGTTAGAAGCACTTTCCCAGCTGTTTTTGCAATGGTAAATTCCTGTTTAAAAAATAATTTATTTGTAAATGTTTGCATTTTTGCTGTCATTACAAAATAACAAACCAAAAAACCCCACCTGGTTTCTAGGCGATAGAAGGTTGACTGTTATTTTTTGCTCAATATCTGTCTTGCACTGATAAAATTTTTGCTCTTGTGCTGTTGTTCTTTGTGGGTGAGCCTTCCTTCTCTCTGACCACTCTTAGGACTTTTTCTTCATCTCTGCTCTTTTGCATTTTTACCATTTTGCATTTATGTTTGTACTTCTTTGTGCCTAACTGGCTGGGCTTGAAGATTTGTGGTTTTTCATTGGTACTGGACATGCCCAACTGAACTGTCTTTAGAGATTTAATCTCCTCAAGTCTCTTTATTTTTTTATTAAAAATATTTTTAATGTTTTATTTTTGAGAGAGAGAGAGAGAGAGACAGCATGAGCAGGGGAGGGTCAGAGAGAGAGGGAGACACAGAATCCAAAGACAGGCTCCAGGCTCTGAGCTGGCTGTCAGGACAGAGCCTGACGTGGGGCTCGAACCCACAAACTGTGAGATCATGACCTGAGCTGAAGTTGGACGCTTAACTGACTGAGCCACCCAGGCACCCCTCTTTATTTTGTAACTTGGAAACTCCAATCAGACATGTTAAAACCTTCTTATTCATCTTAATCTAGTCTCTGTGTCTTAGGTTTTTAAAATAATGTTTATCTCTAACATATTACAAAGGAGTACTTATATTTTGTTGCATTGTACATAAACTCTTTGGTCAATCTTCTAGTTCACTGATTTTCTTTTTAACTATTTCTCATTTTTGTTTCCATATTTTTTTTTCTGTTTCAACTGTTGAGATTTAGTTTTTTTAATGTTTTATTTATATTAGAGAGAGAGAGAGAGAGAGAGAATATGAATGGGGGAGGGGCAGAGAGAGAGGAAGACACAGAATCCATGAAGCAGGCTCCAGGCCCTAAGCTGTTAGCACAGAGCCCGATGCAGGGCTCCAACCCACGAACCGTGAGATTATGACCTCAGCCAAAGTCGGATTCTTTTTTTTTTTTTTTACAAATACTTTATTGTCAAATTAGTTTCTACATAACACTCAGTGCTCATCCCCAAAGTGCCCTC